ATGTATTCCTAAATATTCTATGCAGTTCTGTCCTTGGCCTCCTTTTTCCTCCCTGGGCCTCCTTTTTCCTCCATACCCCTTCTCTGATACCACACACTCCCAAATCTTCAGCTCTAGTCTCAGTGCATTATGACATAGTGGTACATTGCTATTTCAGTCTTTCCCTGGGCATAGTCCTAGCTACCTACAAAGTAACCATTCAAACATGTCCATTCTCCTCTATGTTCCTTATGTATGAACGAATATTTCTGCCGCCTTGTCCTTGTTTCTTTTTCATTCGCCTTCCATTTTCTGTCCATCTCCTTCCACCTATTCTCCTTTCTTGCCTACTGTTGCTGTCCTGGTTCAGGGCCTTATTCACCTTCTGTCAGGACTACTGCTGTTGCTTTCTAGTTGGTCTTTCAACTTCTAGTTTTATGGCCTGTTAGTCTGGTGATCTTCCTAAAGTACAGCTCTGATTAGCAGCTTTTAATATAGCCGTAAAATGGTGGCAATACTAGTAGTAATCTAAGCAAGAAGAGTATTTTTTCATGTTAATATAACTAAGTGGTTTTTATTTTATCTTGTCTTTTCAGAACACCTGTATCTGGACAGTCAACACCCATTTGCTCCACAAGGAATATGAACAAAAGAAAGAAACACTTCTCTCAACTGAAAATGCTGCTTAGTCAAAGCGAATCCCAAGATATTCCAAAGGCGGACTTCAGAAATTTCTTATCTTCTCTGTGAAGAGGAAGCTTTGAAAAAAAGAAACATCTAGTCTAATTCCTGAAACTAAAGTTAGTAAACAACCTTTTGTACTTTTACTCTTTAGATTTATGGAAACTCAGTCCAAGGACAAACTTCCTGGCAGCCCTAAGTATTTATGGGGAGCACGTATCATTTGATTGAATAACTAAAACCCCAGAGGTGGTTATGAGGACCAAAAAATATAGCAAAGGATAGGTGGATGTTGAATATTATTTATTATTATTTTCTTCTCCTTATGTTTTTGCAGTTTCCATTATTGATGTCATTTTCTTCCAAAAGGAAATTGAGACTTTACTGAAAATGTCTTTTACTCCTGAAGGGTTCTTCCATATGTCAGTAATTTTATTGCTAATTCAGAAAAGGAGTCAACTATGTCCATACACATAACTATAGTAAAATTTATATAAATAAAACCTATTTATCCCATGTTTATTGAAGTATTATTTATAATAACCAAGATGTATAAACAGCCTACTAATGCACAAATGGAGATCTTATTCTTTTTAAGGCAGAGAGAGACAAATTCTAAATCACATGGGGATTTAGAGCAGTTGAACTGCCATTACCAGCGGCTTGGGGACACAGCAGGCAGGGGAAGACAATGGTGGAAGGGTGCAGAGTTTCAGTTAGGAAGAATAAATTGTCATGATCTATTGTATAGTGAGGTCAGTAATAATGTATATTTCAAGATAGCTGAAGAGGTATTAAATGTTCTTAACACAAATTGTATTTAAGGTGATACATTTATAATTAGCAATTAAAAATAATAAAATGGATAAATTTATGTAAAGTTATCTCAGTAGTAGAATTGAGCAAAAAGAAGAAAAATATTTAAAAAAATGTTTATTTTAAAAAAAAATTGTGCCAGTAATGGGGTTTGAGCTCTGGGATTTGAACTCAGGGCCTGAGCAATGTCCCTTAACTTTTTTGTTGAAGACTGAGGCTCTAACCATTTAAAATATAGCTCTACTTCTGGCTTTTGCTGGTTAATTGGAGGTAAGTCTAACAATTTGCCTGCCTGAGCTGGTTTTAAACTAGGATTCTCAAATCTCTGCCTCTTGAGTAGACACAATTACAGGAGCCATTGGTGCATAGCTTAAAAATCTCTAAATACTAGGCGCTGGTGGCTCATGCCTGTAATCCTAGCTATTCAAGAGGCTGATGTCTGAGGATTGCAGTTCAAAGCCAGCCAGGGCGGGAAAGTCTGTCAGACTCTTATCTCTAATAAATCACTCAGAAAAAGCTATGGTATTATGGCTGAGTGGTAGAGCACTAGCTTTGAGCAAAAAGTAGCTCAGAGACAGTACCCAGGCCCTGAGTTCAAGCCCCAGGACTGGCAAAAAAATAAAATTTCTTCAAATGAGTTATTTACTCTGTTTCCAGGCTTCTTTGCTGCTTGAAATTTTTAAGCTTAAACTTCTTTAGGGCTTGCAAACTGAATGGTTGAAAAACAACTAGTTACAGTTGGTCATATAATTTTGTGATGCAAAATAGTAACTAGTGCAAGAGCTGGGCCATACTCATTCATACTGACAGCCTAGGTTCATAAACTGCTAAAAAGCTGAGGAAGAATTCCAGCAGCATTCTTAAGAAACAAGTTTAGTGGTAATAGATTCGCTGGTTTTCAAAGTGTGAGCAACCCATCAAACTTGACAGCAAAGAAATGTAACTTGATTTCTGTTCCAATTCCAGTCAGCTGACAAAGACTGCCTAGATCTGCCTTTATTCATAAACAGGAGGGGAAGTGTGCAATCACTTTGGATCATGACTGGGTGTGTAGAACTAAGATTTCACCATAATTACCTGAAGAGTTGTTAAAAAGACACATATACCCAACCTTGGATTTTTGGGTTCCATAGGTCTGCATGCATCCCCAAAAGTTGCACTTCTAACATGTTCCCAGCTGCAGCTATTTAGGCCTCTGGCCTAAATAATGGCTTAGAGAAATCCACTAGTTTAAAAGTAAGCTTTAGTCAAATATGTTGTAATACTGGGTTTGAGCTCAAGACCTCACATTTGATAGCTGGCACAGTATGTACCACTGATTTATGCCTCCAGTCCTGATTTACGTTGCTTATTTTTTAGGATAGGGCCTTGCTTTCCACCCTGGTGCACACCTGAGCCACCACTACTTTTAGTCTGCCTTTAATCACTGGGATCACAAGAATGTGCAGCTGTGTTCAGATAAAACTGTAGAGTCAGTCTTGCAAACTTTTCTGCCCTCCCAATCTCAGCCTCTCCTGTAGCTTGGAATGACAGGTTCGTGCTACTCTACTCAGGGGTTTAGAAAGAATCTCTCACTCCTGTAATTCTAGCTACTCAGGAACACAGTCCTGAGGAACACAGTCCAAAGTTGGCCTGGTCAGGAAAGTCCATGAGCCTCATATCTCCAAATAACCAGTAAAAAGCCCAAAGTGGAGGCATGGCTTAAGTGTTAGAACACAAGCCTTAGAGCAAAACAGCTCAGGGATAGTACCTGGATCCTGAGTTCAAGCCCTTGGACTGGCACCAAAAGAAAGTACTTGAAATGTTCAGAGGAGTTAGGCCTTAGGGTCCCTCCCCTAAGAGTATCTTTTAGTCTGTGTGTGTGTGAATGTGTAAATGCCTACAGTCCTGTATGTTATGCCAGTTTTATTTTAGATCTAGCTTCATGCAGTTTGTCTCTGAGCTTAGCTTGGCTTCACTTAGCATGATTTGTTCTGTGCCCATCTATTCCCTGTAAATGTTGTAAATGAATGAGTAAAATTCCACTGTGTATGTGTACCACACTTCTATCATAGGGCATCTGGGGTTCTATAGCCTGGCTACTGTAAATAGTTTGTTTTTTTTTTTTGGGGGGGGGGGTCCGGTCGCGGGGCCTGAACTCTGGGCCTGGGCGCTGTCCCTCAGCTCTTCAGGTAAAGGCTAGCGCTCTACCATTTGAGCCACAGCGCCACTTCCGGCTTTTTTCTTTTTGCTTATGTGGTGCTGAGGAATCGAACCCAGGGCCTCAGGCATGCAAGGCAAGTGCTTTACCACTGAGCCAACTTCCCAGCTCCGTAAATAGTTTTTTGAAGAATATCCAAACTAGGGCTGGGAAGGTGGCTCAGTGGTAGAGCACTTGCCTTGCATGCATCAGGCCCTGGGTTCGATTCCTCAGCACCACATAAGCAGAAATCTCAAAGTTGTATTGATTTGCATTTCTTTTGTGGCCAGGGGTGTTGAGCATGGGTCTATTTACCACTGTTCTGAGACATCTCTCTAGCTCCTTTGTCCATTTATTGATACATTAGGTTTTTGGGGGGAAGTGTTAATTTTTTGAGCTCCTTGTATATTTTGTATATTAGGCCCTTGTTGGATATATTGCTGGTAAAGATCTCCCAGTCTGTTGGCTATCTTTCCATTATTTTAAACTTGAGTGTGGACATGAGCGTTACCAACAAGTAGCAGAAAAGTAAACCACGAGACCTGACCACAGACTTACTGAGGCAGAAGCTCTGCAGGTGGGGCCCAGCCATCTATGTTCTAGTAACAGCTCCAGGGAATTCTGACACTGGATTTTGTCACTGACAGTAATCTCCTTCAGCATTTTCTATTATTTCTTTGAATACTTCCAGTACTTTGCTTCCGTCTTGGTCCCCTAATCCTCTGCCTTCTACCCTGTACTCACTGACTCAGAATCACAAAAATAAACCTCACAAAGAACCTTCAAAAAGAACATAAAACTTTATTAAGAACAGCTTATACAGCCAAAGAAAAGGGGGTAAACAGTCCAGGAGAGTTCATCTTCCCGTGTGCTATTGCCTCCTCACAACACAGTCTTGTGGATGGCTGGAATTACAGCGGGCAACAAATGCTCTGTCTAAATCAATTCATTAAGTAACACAATGTTCCCTTTCTGTACAGAGAAGAACTTGTTTACACTTTCAACAGTTCATAGTGCAACAACTATGAGACAAGACTACATTTTTAGGAGCTATTTCCTAATAGAATACCAACCAGTTTAGTAGCTGTCATTTCATATAATGTAAATCTTTAAAATGGGGAATTCAGAAAGGGCCTTCTGATTTTCCCAATTAATTGGTACTTTTGAGTTTTTTCTATTTAAAGAGTCCTCAGAACCAGTCTATTAACTATACTGTAAAAGATGAGATCTCATCTATAGTGATAATTGACATTTAGGTGTTTTGTTTTAATTTTGCAAATCAAGACTGGATCATCCCAGCTTTTGCTGATTCTAAAGGATTTCTTATACAAAAACCCTGATTCAGAGTACACATGAAAGAGGTACCAAAATAGCAGAATACAGAATGGTTTTCCTTGGGGAGGTTAGCTATTGAGTACATTCGTTCCCCTGTGGTTCTTTCATTTACTGTAGGGATGGAAGAAGCAGAGGGAGCGCCTAGTCAGATCAACACTAGACAGCTCTCAGACTGTTGACAGGGAAGAGTAACGCTATCCATTCAAAACACAGTGCCCCTACTGCAGGTGTGCAGATATGCTCTCTCAAGGAGCCGGGCCAGACCGCACTCAGTTGCATGATTTGCCTTGGGTACGCAGTGTACAAAATGCTCATGATTTAGATTTTGGTATTATAGTACCCCCAGCCTAACCCCATTTCTTGAGAACATCTAGTCTTTTTAGGAAGGATGACTTTTTCCTGCTAAGGCTTACCATGTTAACTATTATAAGGCTGAAATGTTTGTGACTAGTTTGTGTTCAGTTAGTGAGCTAACCAACAACTGAGGTTTGTGGAGGACTGACTGGTCAAGGGGTGCAATTCAGGTACTTGAATACTATCACATCACAAATCTCATCGAGCTCTAAAAAAATAATGCATTTTTATCATAAATATTTAGAGAAGATACTGGAATTAAAATCAGTATCTAAGTCAGAAGTTTGTCATGAATAGTGAAAATATTTCCACATACTTCTCAAAGATTTTAAGTGTTGCTAGGAGTACATACTTTATAAATTAGTTTTAACTGGAAAAAATATTTTTGAATGAATAAATCACATTAGCAGATCATAAATAAAGCCAAGATACTGAAATAAATTAGCATACAATTTTGCTTTCACATTAACAACAAAAACTAACTTACTTCGTATACTTTCATAACAGTGATAACCAGGTTTCGTAGCTGTGCATTTATTACCTCCCTCCTTTGCAGAATCTTTCCTTGTATTTCCCATACCTAACCACAGAGGCATACACTTCAGTATGTGTCTGGCTCCACACATAATTTCCTTAGAGTGACATTACAAATGCTGGCCATGATCTACAAGTAACTTATCAACCGTACCACAAGTACATTCATGGTTAAGTGGATTAGGTTTCCAGCTGAGCTTCAGTAGTAGTGTGTGACAGGGAACCTGACTATTGTTTCTGTGAGAAAACATCCTAAGTCCCAAAAGCTGTTCAAAACACTGAGTAAAAGATATACATGTAAGTGGATGAATGACTACTTCTATGCATCTGTTTTGAAGAGAGGTCAAAATTTTACAATCAGTTTCCACAACTACTATCTATTAAAAATAAATATCTGCCTTTTTCACTGGTAATCATTTTAACTATAGTCTCTAACACTGAGAGAACAGAGTGCAGCCATTTAGAGTAGTGAGACATAATTGGCTTGTGTGATTTAAAGGGTGTTCTATTAACTATCTAATTTGAATCTGATAGGAGAAATGTCTAACATGTAAAGCAATGAAAGATAAAGATGCTTGTTCTAAATTATTATTGAATACAAATTCACAGCTTAACAATGAAATCCAAAAAGGCTGGAGAGCATGCAACTGCCCTAACACACAGAGTTAGAAATAAAAGGTAAAAGTACATTTGTTTTATATTTACATCTGTAAACATACAAATATAGAATTTACCCAATCTACCCTGTAGTGTAGCACTGCTTCATTTCCAAGAGTACAGTCATTCAAAAACCTTAAACTATACCAATGTTCCAAGGTTAGTTTACTCAATGTTAATGAATATTGAATTCTTGAGTTTTTAGTGCTAAAAGTTCTAGAGTTTTTAAGTTATATGCCCAAGGAAATAATAAAAGGATCATTACTTTGTTTCTTTTAATCCCACAGATGGCTTTTTTGTTGAAGGGATTGATTATGTTTAAAACAAGACTGACTTGACAAATAGGAATCAGTTCCAGACCCAAAGCTCTTCTCTTGGTAGTGTGTCAAGTTTTATAACATTTTCATTTTAATCTACTCAAATAATTCTCAACAGTACAACCAAAGTATTCCCTATTTAGTAATCTTTTTATTTTACACTGGCAGTTGGAATGGAACTCCTACAGTGCTATGGGGGAAAGTTCTCTAGGCTTTGACCTGACCCCCCAGTGGCATCATGTTTACTGTTAAGTTACAGACCTCTAAGGAACCAAAGGCCTTGAAAAGGCACAGAACCAGCTATGGTGTTGGGAAGATGGGTGAAAATTAAATTGGAACATTTAATCCCTTCTACAGTCAAGTCTTAAACTGTACCATAATAAAGTCAACCAGATCCTGATTCGTTCTTCCCCTTTAGAATTAGATAGTATACAGTGATTAGATACTGGAAAAAAAAAGAAAGAAAAAGAAAAGCAACTGAAAATACATGAAGAAATAGAAACATGGAATCTCTCACAAGGACCTGGATCAAAAGAATTTACAAAAAGGTCTTCTGAAAATAATCACTATTTGTGAGTTACTGATACACAGGGATCATTACCTTATTTAGCCTAGTCACATTAACTTACTAGTAAAATAGTAAACAAACCAACATTTTAACAATTTTATAAATTACTTGTCATTTCTTTGTTAGTACCACTCTCTCAACAATATACAAAAATAATGCTTACAGAACTATCCACCTAATCTGTCTTCATCTCTTTCAAAGTTCTGGGTCCTGGAAAGAGACTGGTCGTCAGTCTTCACTGTAGATGTCTCCAGCAAAGGGCAGGTGCATGTGACTGCCAGTGACATTTGGCAATCGAGATAAATCTGGCAGGCTCTGGATCCGAGACCTCAGTTCTTTTCGTACCAGGGAAACTCTGGCTAACTTGCGCTTGTATTCCTGTAACAGCAAACCATTTTAATTAGCATTTGGGGATTCAAAGGACTATCTAGCTAATATTCTGAAATAAAAACAAAAACCTGCTACTATTGTCAGTTAATGACAAGGTTATTCCAACATAAGTTTTAGTTTATCCAAACAGGTAAATATGACTGAACACTTTACATGCATTACATGCAGTACATGAAAACATCATAATAAACCCGTTACTTTGTACAATTGATATATATTACTAAAAGAAAGAGCTTTGAAAATATGTAACCACATAAACTCTTTTTTTGGTCAGCTGTGAGGTTTGAACACAGGGCTTGGGTGCTGTCCCTGAACCTCTTTGTGCTCGAGGCTAGCACTCTATGCTTGAGCCATAGCACCACTTCCTGTTTTTGAGTGGTTAATTGGAGATAATAGTCTAACAGGGACTATTTGTCCCGGTTGGCTTTGAACCACAATTCTCAGATCTCAGCCTCCTGAGTAGCTAGGATTACAGGCATGAGCCACTGGCTCTGAACATGGAAAAACCACAATCTTTGTTTGTTGTGTCATGCATGTAGAAAGATGAATATGTTAATATACAACCTTGGTATAAACGGTTTTCAGCTGCCTTTTAGTTCGGCAAGAAAAATTACACATTTTCCCCCCACAAACCTGAACTAAAATTCAGCACTGCTTTTAATTACAAAGGTTAGCAACAAATTACAGTAGGGTCAGTATCTGTGACTTTGCTTCCAACAGAAACCAGTTCCTTCAGGTTATAGTTATGAAGTGTTTTCAAATTATTGTTATCATTGCTTTACAACTTTGGTAAGTTATTTAATCTACCACTGAATATTATTAACAAAGAAACATATACTGTTGTACACATTTTAAATTTTTGACAGCTGTAGCCGGGCGCCGGTGGCTCAAGCCTGTAATCCTAGCTACTCAGGAGGCTGAGATCTGAGGATCACGGTTCAAAGCCAGCCCAGGCAATGAAAGTCCATGAGACTCTTGTCTCCAATAAACCACTAGAAAACCGGAAGTGGCGCTGTGGCTCAAGCGATAGAGCACTTGTCTTGAGCTGAAGAGCTGAGGGGTAGCGCCCAGGCCCAGAGTTCAAGCCCCACCACTGACCAAAAAATTTTTTGACAGCTAGAATTCAATACAACTCATTTCCTTTGTAATGGTATGCATTTTATTTTGTACAAATAAAAGGAAGGGCTCCATGGCTCACCTGACTGGGCACAAGTACAGGTACAAGTTAGGAAAGCCTTGCAAACAAGCCCAAGAAATCAGCCAATGAAAATCTATCAAGATAATCTTTGGCTTACAGGGAATAACCCATTCTCTATACTGGATATGTCTCCTAAGTGAAGTTCTAGACACTTGGTTAAATCTTCTAAAAGGACAGTAGAGAATATTCTTTCTTAATCAATGGAGATGAGACCTAAAGGGGGAGTCCAGAAAAATGGGTATTCCTAAGGACCTCTCTGGCAAAAAACTGATCTGTCCCACAGACAGGACAGTGCAGTCTAACAGCTTTACACTTTGTCAGCTTGCCCACAAACTGCCTTTCCTCATTAGTTTATCTCAAAAATCTGGCTGTACATCAAACTACCTAAGAAATATTTGAAGAGAACTACCTCTAACTTTAACAAATAACACTATCCCAAAAAGGGTCCAAAGCATATGTAAAGGCTCCCAAGGTTATACTAGTATACAGTGAGACTCCTGTGCCCCTTCTTTACAGTGTTAATGCTAAAGTGAAATCAACTAGTGAGTTCTCTCCACAATTTTGCGGGCAATTCTGGGATTTAAACTCCACACCCATTTCTTCTTTATTTTTTAGATAGGCCCTTGTGCTTTTTCCTAGGGATAGCCATAAACTGAAATTCTTCCACCTCAGCCTCCCATGTGGCTGGGTCTACAGATACACATCACCATGCCCTGCTGGGTTTTGAAAAAGGGTATGGTTAACTTTTGCCCACACTGTTGTCCAACTACAACCCTCACATTTCCACTTCCCATTGAGCTGGGATTACAGGGATCCACTACCCCCAGCTTTTTCTTGTGTTTTTAATCCTCTTAAATTATAATTATACCTGGCAGAGAACCCAACTTCTCTAAAGAAATGGAAGAATAGGACTCTGAAGCACAAGAAACCCTGGGAGACAAAGCAAGCCAGGTGGAAAGCTGGAAAATAAAGGATAGCTCTGAGAACGTAACAGAGGTATCAACTTGTTGTGACCACATATCCAGCATTTTCAATCATCTTGAAAGTAAGGTGCAGTAATATATAGTTTAATAAGATTATACAAGGTCAAGGGAAGATTTTTTCCCCCTTTCACACTATCACAAGTGTGCAGCATGGCAGTTCAGAATGGCAAATAGGAGATAAGCACCAGAATATTTCACATTCAGCATTCATTCTTCTCAACAGAATCTACTGCTTCTGATAACAAATCACATAAATGCCAAACGGAGACTGTCTAGAAAGCACAAGACCCTGAGTTTAGCTCACAGTACTACATCATGATGATGATGATGATGATGATGATGATGGCTGTGTGAAAGGAAACGGGGTGGGGGAGGTAATAGAAGTGAAGAGGATTGAGTACACTGCATGTACTTGTGAAGAAAATAAAAGCCATCAAAGACTTAAAAAGCAGAGAAGGAAAAAGGAGTTAAGGGAGTGTAAGTGGTGAGCCTGTTCAAAGGCTTCCTCACGAGGAAATCCTGTTATGCTACTGTTGCATTCCAATAAAAACATTTTAAAGATGTACCTTAATTCTTCATTGGGGGGCCAGTATGGATATTTGAACTGAGGGCCATGTGATTACTAGGCAAGTGTCCTGCCACTATAACTATGATGCCAGCTCTTTTGTTTTACATTATTTCTTAGATAGGGTCTTATTTTTTGTCTAGGCATGGATGATCCTCCTACTACAACTTCCATAATGCTAGCATTACAGGAGTGTACCTCCATGCCATATCTCCAAGTGGGATGAATTGGAAGAAATCCATACGCCATCACAGTGAAAGTGCAAAGTCAAAATACTGAAAGGAGAAAGACAGACAGCCTATTACTTCCTTACAAAGGGACCAGAATAAGCGAAAGGCAACAGTACATACATTCAAAGTGCTCAAAAAGAAAGAATTCCAACCCCATATCCTAAGTCAGCAGACATATTTCTAAAACAATTTCTGCAGATAAAACTGAATTTGTTGCTAACAGACCCACCTTAGAGGAAATTCTAAAAAATTCCTTCCTACTAAAAACCAATATATTCTCAAAGTAAACAGAATCCATAATGAAGAACCCAAAATAAAGGTTACTGTTACAGACTGAATGTAAATATTGAAGCCCTAACCCCAATGGGACTGCACTCTAACACTCGAATCACACCTCCTTTTTGCTTTTCGAGATAGAGTCTAATGGACTTTTCTGCCTGGGCTGGATTCAAACCACAATCCTCAAATCCTAGCCTCCTTAGTAGTCAGGATTACAAGTGTGAGCCACTTCCACCTGGCTAAAATAGCTACTTGTAAAACATGTATCTAATAGACAACTTAAACATTTTCCTGGATATTAAACATGCTTTGCATAGTTTTTATTCTTCACAAAAGCCCTGAAACATAAGGAATAATTATTTTATACATGAGAAAATGAAGCTTTAAAAACTAAACTGTCCAAGATTAATGCCAGACATCATGTAACAATTCATTTTGATACTACTTTAAAAAACAGTGAACAATAAACTGATAGATCTTATTCCTGGTCAAATGATAAAATATTAATACAGGCTGGTGATAGAACTCTTGCTGCAAAGGCCTAGGTTTGACCTCCAGCACTGGAAGAAGAAAAAGAAAGAAATAGGGAGAGACAGAGAGAGAAAACAGTTAAAATAATACAACCAACAGTAATTTCAGAGCTTTGCAGAACAGCATTGTTCTTAAATTACCCAGAATAATTAAGTTTGATTAAAAACATTACAAAACAGGGCTGGGAAAGTGGCTCAGTGGTAGAGTGCTTGCCTCGCATGCATGAGGCCCTGGGTTCAATTCCTCAGCACCACATAAGCAGAAAAAAAAGCCGGAAGTGACGCTGTGGCTCAAGCACTAGCCTTGAGCTGAAGAGCTGAGGGACAGCGCCCAGGCCCAGAGTTCAGGCCCCATGACGGGCCCCCCCCCAAAAAAACTTACAAAACAATCTATTACTTAACATTCCAAATAAATGGCCATTCACAGCAAATGTAGTAAAGTTACAGAAATAATAGAATTTCATGATATGAAGTCTAATCTGAACACAAATATGATACATTGGAGTATTTTGCTCAAATATTTCTCCCTTGTCCCAGGTCCTCATACAGTTTTGATCCCCAAGTATGAGCTTGCATCTGCCTCCACTGGGCAACCTCCCCCAATGACTTCTTCCCTATCTACTTTGTCTCTACTCTGTGGCCACTAACAATGCTCTTTGATATCCTACTCATGTTGTCACACAGTTGATGACTTCATGAAACACCAAAAACAGGGCTAGTCTATCAAAATACAATATATAAATATATGAAATACAACGATGAAACCTTATATCACAAATAAAAAACAGTAACTACAAGGTTAGTAACTACATGAAACATCAGAAAAAAATGGAGGATTTAACTAGACAAAAGGGAGAGAGGGGGAAAAAAAACAGGTTATACATGTCTTCAGAAAGGTAGCATTCCTAAGAGAATAGAGGACTGTGAATGTGGCTCAGTGTAAGTGCTTGTCTAGCATGCATGAAGCCCTGGGTTCGATTCCTCAGTACCACATACACAGAAAATGTCGGAAGTGGCTCTGTGGCTCAAGTAGTAGAGTGCTAGCTTTGAGCAAAAGCAGCTCAGGGACAGTGCCTAGGCCATGAGTTCAAGCCCCAGCCCTAGGACTGGAGAGAGAAAAGAGAGAGTGGAAACAGAGAGAGACAGACAGAGAGACAGAGACAGAAAGCTAGAGACAGAGAGAGGGAATACAGAATTCTTTGACATACTAAACTAGCTACATACTTAAAATGTTTTGTTTTGCAGATGGTAAAGAGGTAGCTCAGTGACAGATCACTTGCCTAATCATGTGCTTGGCCCTGGGTTTCGTCTCAATACTATGCAAAGTTATGTGGGCCAGGGCAGAAAAAAATGTCAGCAAAATAAACTGACCAGTATTTTTTCTACTACAAATAAGGTGACCAAAGAAAACCAGCTCTGTACCATTATCCTCTGCTCTCTTGTCCATCTTATCCATCTTTGTTTAGCCAGTAGCTATTTAAGATCTTAAAAATGAAGTACAACATTAAGTCCACAACAATGGAGCATGTACTTCAATGAGCAGATGTGTGTGCATCTATTGTATAGCCAACATGGAACTCAAGATGCAGGCTGTTACACAAGGCTTCTGCATTATCACCTCTCCCAACTTTTAAATCAATATTTTCTGAACTTTGGTTGTGTGTTATTCTTTATAATGTCTGTACTAGCCAATAGATAAACTATTATTGAGTTAACTTTGTGTGTATGCACCAGTACTGGGTCTTGAGTTCAGAAGCTTTGGTGTTTTCCCTTAGCTTTTTCACTGGAGGCTGGCACCCTACCACTTGAGCCACAGCTCTACTTCCAGTTTTTTGCTGTTCAACTGGATGGAGATAAAAATCTCACACTTTCCTGTCTGAGTTGTATTTCTTCAGATCCTAGCATAGCTAGAAATACAGAGCCACCAGCACCCAGCTTCAACTTACTTAACAAATCTTCATCCTGAGAAATAACAGTGCAGTGACAGGTTTATTGTTGTGCCCTGGCTTTTGACTTAACAGAGTAAAATGAACATGACTACTAAGTCTAAAAGTCTTTTCAGGTAGCACTGTGGCACAAGAGTCATCGCCAGCCTCATTCTTCATGGACAAGTCACTGTCTCTCTGCCTTAGTTTAATGATTTACCCATCTCTTCTAACACTCTTTAGAGTCTATTTTTCCCAGTTCCAACTTTATACAATGCTCAGTTTCACTGGTTAAATCCAAGCCCTTCTACTCTGCACAATTTTACCCCCATAATGGCCTAGGTAAGTTTTCACTTTGTCTAGAAACCCCTCCTCAGACCCTTTTATCCTTACTTCAGGTTTGCAGCTGAAACTCTCTGCTTCTGTCTTCTGTTATCCTCTCGGGGGCAGGAGCTTAATTCACACAGGTGAAAGGAAGTGTGACCTGTCTTGTGAGCACTACAAGTGAGTTAAGACCAGCTTGGAGTCTGGTAACTATTAGGCAAACTTTTCTTTACTATATATAAAATGTTCAACCTTACTCATGTAACTGTAACCCCTCTGTACAGCATCTTTACAATAAAATTTAAAACATAAAAATAAATGTTTAGAATTTAGATTTTGTAACACATATACTGACACTGCCATAGAAACTTTTCCTACTCTAGCTTCAAGATAACCTCTTAAAATGTGCTTCTACTCCAGGGCTTTTTTTTTTTTCACTTCAATTACTTCTGAACTTAAATATTAATGATTGTTTTCTGGTTTTATATCCATAATTAGGGGAAATTTTGCTTATGTACTTGTATTTCTTGCAATACCCAAAAGAGCACTAACGATGAACAGGATCCTCAGCCAATAAATACTCCATGACATCAGTACCTCTGGACTCAAACACTGCCTCTCTGATGGTGGGCAAAAGCCACTAAGCCCCAAGTCTCAGGTGCCTCCTTTAACTGTTCTAAAACTTACTGCTTTAAATAAAGTTTATTTCCAAGATTACATGTTTTTATGACTGCCTTCTCTTGTATATACTAATTCAGCTCTGCTCTGCTTTTCTTTAGAACAATGGTTACTTAAAAAACAAACAAAAAAAAATATGGAAAGCTGGTAGTGGTGGTGCATTCTTAAAATCCCAGCAATCAGGAGGCACTGGCAGGAGGACTAAAGTCCAGAGTAAGGCTATGTAGTGTGACCATATCTCAAAACCACACAAAGAATGTGGAGAATTTCAAGTGCATCCACATCGGTATCTTTAGGTAGCCATTTAAAGGGTGTGGCCAACTCTGAGATCATGCCAACTGGACTGAAACTACACGGACTTCCCATCCACTTACTACTGTTACTATAGCTGACAGAACTGCACCAAACCAGGAAGCTGAACCCTGATTCACATGAGCTACTTGTATGATGTTCTTTTGGAACTGAACCCATGGATTTCAGAATGTTATGAAAGCCACACTTATCTAGGTCACTCCCCATATCTTTACTTGTGAAATCCATTTCTAGAGTACTTCTAAAGTATAACAATTATTAGCTGAGTAACACTCAGAATAAAAGGTTGTACTATAAGTTTCCAACAAGTAGACAGTGACAGCCTAGAGTAAACATTTAAGACTTTCCTCTGGACATTTTCTTAAGCAGTTCTGGGATTGAATTCAGGGCCTTCACACTCCCTCAGCTTGCTTGCTCACAGCCAGCTCCCTACCATCTGAGCCACACTTCCAAACCAGCTTTTGGCTGGTCCACTGGAGATGAGTTTCAGGACCATTCTGCCCAGATTGGCTTTGAACCTTGATCCTTTGGTTTCAGCCTCCTGAGTAGCTAGAGTTAAAGGTATGAGCCACAGGTACCTAGACAGAACATTTCTTAAAAATGAAGATAATGGCCAGGTGTTAGTGGCTGAGGATCATGGTTCAAGGCCCCAGGCAGGAAAGTCCCCATGAGACTCATCTCCAATAAACCACACAAAAACCAGAAGTGGTGCTATGGCTCAAGAGGTAGAGCGCTCGCCTTGAGCTGAAGAGCAGAAAGACAACTCCAAGGTCCAGAGTTCAAGCCCCATGACCGACAAAAAAAAAAAAAAGATAATGACATATTATGGCACATTTCCACAGTGTACATATTTACATCAATTCCTGAAGTCACATCTATGCAAACATCCAATTATATTTTCCCCTGTAAATCTCAACTTATGTAACTTTAGTCTAAAAATCTAATGGCTTCTGTTTATCTCTTGGCAACCTTCTCACTTTTCATGTTAGTCATATATTTGAGAATTAAAACAAGTGAGTTCTTAAAGAAAAAAAACAAATCAATATTGTAGTAAATCATATTCAAAATCAAAATGGAGACAAAATTTTGAAAACACATCAATCTTTTAGCTGGTGGTAACCTTCATGATCCTGATTCTTTGTTTTCCTGAACTTCATGGTTTTGTTGTTTGGGTGTATTTCATCCTATTCTTTGCCCTATTGCTGAAGCTACTGCCTTCACTATAACTATTAAGTCTTGCTGGGCACCAATGGCTCACACCTATATGGTGTGAGCCATTTCAGTCTCCTATTTGGAAGACTGAAGTGAGGATTGCAATTTGAGGAAAGACTGGGGAAGAAAAGTTTGAGACAGTGGTATGAGTCTGTTGTCCTAACCATATGGGAGACCAGTTTCAGGCTGGCTGGGGCATAAAAAATTCCTCCAGACTGTTTCAACAGAAAGTTGGGCATGGTGGCATAAGCCTGTCATCCCAACTACAGCAAGAAGTGAAAGATAAAAGAGCTGTAATCTATGTGCATGTCTGAGCAGAAGGTGAGATCCTATTTCAAATGTAACTAACTAGCACTAATAAAAGGGTGGAGGCATGGTCAGTGATAGAGCACCTGCCTGGCAAGCACAATGCTGAGTTCAAAACCCAAGTTACGGGCTAGGAAGGTAGCTCAGTGGTAGAGTGCTTGCCTTGCATGCATGAGGCCCTGGGTTCGATTCCTCAGCACCACATAAGCAGAAAAAAAAAGCCAGAAGTGGCGCTGTGGCTCAAGTTCAGGCCCACCACCGGACCCCCCCCCCCCAAAAAAAAAACCCAAGTTGCCATAAAGTTTTTATTTTGGGGGGTTGGGGGGGGTGGGGAGGTTGGTCTTGAGGGCCTGGACCTGGGCCTGGGTGCTGTCTCTCAGTAAGTCAGCTCAAGGCTAGCACCCTACCACCTGAGCCACAGTGCCACTTCCGGCTTTCTTCTGCTTATGCAATGCTGAGTAATTGAACCCAGGGCCTGGTGCATACGAGGCAAGCACTCTACCACTTAGCCAACTTCCCAGCCCCTTTTACTTACATTTTAAAAACCATCATACTTCAGTTTTTATTTCATTTTGCTTTGCCCTTAGGGACTCTTTGCTAGGTTAAGACAGGAAAAGTTAACTGAAGTATTGATCAAGACACACACACACACACACACACAATCCTAAACAAGGCAAAGAAATGTCATGTCTTAATACAGTAGGCATGATGCTTAGACCTGGTCATAGATTCCCATGTGGATGACAGCAAGGCATTTCTAACACTGTCCACCAGTTAGGTCTGTTACCAGCTCAAGCTAGGGGAGGGAATGCAAAGACCTCATAAGCATGTTTTATTCATCTTAAAAGAAAACAAATGCTTAGCTAATTGTGGTGATCCATGCCTGTAAGCTTGGTACTCAGAAGTTATGGACTTGGTAGAACTGAGGTTTCAAGACCAGCCAAGATCAAAAGCTAGCAAGATGCCATCTCAACCTTTAAGCTGGGCCTGGTGGTGTGGCCTGTCATCCCAATCATGTAAGAGTGTCAATCTGAGGCTGGCCCTATGCAAAAGCACAAGACCCTACCTAAATAAAGCACAAGACCCTTATCAAAACAAAGGCTGGAGGTGTGGATCAAGTGGTAGACCATCTGCCCAGACAGAAAGAACTCCTGGGTTCAAACCCAACATTGCCTGCCATCCCCTCCCCTATCCCTGCAAAAAACATTCCTCAAACTTAGCTTAGTATCTAATACTGGAACTTATCATTTATTAAGAAATAAGGTAACATCACATCTTTTTCTCAGTCTCTTCCTATTACCCCAAACTCTGATACAGTTGCCATTTTTCAACTAAATATAGGAAAATATTATCTTTTAGGGGAAATCAGTTTGGTGTAAATGGATGTTATCTATCAATGTCAGAGTGCACATTTTTAGTAGCTCTGTTACTAAAAACTTTCAGTAGCCTTCTGGATTAATAAGTCGAAAAGACAAAATGCTTTACCATGCTATCTGCAAGGAAGCTATCTGCCTAACTGGCTACTGACTTGGGTTTTAAAATATCAATAATGCTGCATTTAAATGAGGGTATACATATTTGGAGATTATCTAGCACACTAACTCAAACCAAGTAGCTGTCTGTCACATTTTCCATGTCCATTCTGAATGCCAACAATTGTTCTAAGCATTCCCTTTAATCCTCACAGGTAGACTAGTACTAGCCATCTATTATAGATGGTGGAAAAGTGTGATTACCCACTAAGAACCTTCACTCAAAGTTAGTAAACAGAGGAAAGGGGGACCTCAACCCTAGAGATTGGCTTCAGTCCTCATGCTTTACCATTAAGCTATCCTTTCTCATGTCCTGAAATTATATTAGGAACAGATATTCTGACGTACGTTGTCCAACTGAAAGCTATTCCTACAACTATTGGGTCACATCATGTCCTAAACCTCAAAGCTCTAGTGAGGCCACAAACTGTCATTGTACCACCAAGTCTGTTATTAAAGCATTTCTGGATTTCCTGGTAGTGTGAATAGTTCTCAATTTCTCTTAAATAGTATGTGGGCCTTGAGAAGAACTGTTTAATCAGAGTACAGTAGCAACTGCAGAGCAGAGAGAAGGGCAAGGAAGGCAAGAGAAATTGTGGGAAAGGTGCTCAATATTCCAGGAAAGTTTAACCTGCAAACAAGTCTATTTCTCCCTTGGCTCTGTGTGTGTGTGTCTGTGTGTGTTCACACGCACACACAAGCCAGAATCTGATAGACAGTGTAGAACATTATTTCTGCTTTCTCTAGTGTTTTACCTTTCCCATTAGTAAGCACTCTATTGACGTAAATTCCCGGTCTGCCAATTTCAAAACTTGTGTCATACATGACTAGTACTGATGTTTGACTTTTAGACTCGTTTTTTGCTTGCCTTATCATTACTATTGAATCACAAATATGACATATCAGACAATAAACCATAAAGTAAACATATTACTGTATGACGAGGGTATGTTAATCTTGTCAGGAGTGAAGTCTGATTTAGATGTAGATGCTAGACCATGAACCCATTGTGAACATAGCAAGATTGAGTGCACTGGATGCAGGTTTAACCATGCTGGTTTCCCTATTCAACCTCAGCAAAATAAATTAGCTTGCCAGTTTACCCAGAGGGAGGGGCCTGGGTGGCAAAGGAAATGCAAACAAAACACTTTAGACAACAGTTGAGAAAATTAGCAGGGGTCAGAGTTGGGGTCAGAAAAAATTTATGTGAAGCCGGGTGTTGCTGGCGCACACCTATAGTCCTAGCTACTCAGGAGGCTGAGATCTGAGGGTCATGGTTCAAAGCCAGCCTGGGCAGAAAAGTCTGTGAGACTATTCTCTACAATTAACCACCAGAAAACAGAGAGTGGTGTTGTGGTTCAAAGTGGTAATGCTAGCCTTGAGCAAAAGCGCTCAAGAACAGCATCCAGGCTCTGAATTCAAGCCCTATAACCGACAATAAAAAAATAAAAAATAATGTATGTATATGTCTGTAAACATCTGTCCATGGATGCTAGTTGGTTTACTGGAGGCAGAACTAGGACCAGTGGACACATAAACAGTGTCAAGCAAGACCATGCTGCCAGTTTAAATGACTAATGAAGTAGTGCTTAACTCTGTACTACCTACACTGCCATGC